CTATTTACATTATTCGGACTATTGTCCTCATCTTTGTTGACATATTTATTTCAACGTTTCGGCCTTTCAGTATCTGTCTATATTTCTGAGATGAGGTATTGTGTACACTATTTACATTATTCCGACTATTGTCCTCATCTTTGTCGCCATATTTATTACAACGTTTCAGCCGTTGTACGCTCCGGCCTTCCTCAGGTGGTTGGAATGTGCCATGTGTCCTCAAGAACACATGACACAGTGGATAAAGGCGTTAGTTAGATCCAGTGACAGGAACCAAAGAGTGTGAGTTCAATACCCGGTTAAGGCAGTAGAGAACTTGGAGAGGGGAGTTAACAGGAGATAACTGATAACTGATAACTGACATCCATTAAACATGGCACGTGTAACTAGAACAGTCTACCCCAGTAAGTGAAATATAGGGTTCAGTTCGACATCCCAGCCACCTGAAGAAGGCCGGAGCGTACAACGGCTGAAACGTTGTAATAAATATGGCGACAAAGATGTGGACAATAGTCCGAATAATGTAAATAGTGTACGTCAAAACACTTGTTGGAACCTCTAACGACATATTATAGAATCTCGTACATTTGCTGGGCTCCGAATTATACAGATCTCCGACGGAAGTGCCAAATGATAACATGCGTCTGAGTCGGTGGCTCCACGCATCCACTTCCGGTTACTAAATATATTGACATACATTTAAAAATTTCACCATAATGATTACATATTTAGTGAGTAGGATCTATTTAAAAATACGTAAAAAAGGTTTCATTAACTCTTTTGGTATCATATATAACAAGTTTAATTAAATAAAATACATCAAAATTTATTCACTCTAATGACTCCAGGTGTAACTTATAGGATACGTCACGACTTACATTCACTGTAAGGAATGCATATAAATCGCGTAGGATTTATTAAACAAATGCGTCATAAATTTCACTGACGTTAAAACTCTCTCTCACTCTCTCTCACTCTCTCTCTCTCTCTCTTTCTCTCTCTCTCCATATATATATATATATATATATATATATATAAGTCGACTCCCCATGAAAGATTATTTCCTGTAGAACAACATTTCCGCCTAGAAAAACACGATTTTAAAACCCATGCCAAATTCACTATAATTGAGAGAATAGAAAAGTTCCGAGCAGATAGCATTAGAAAGATTTTAGAGTTCCATGAAAAAAAATGGATACAACGTTTAAAAACGCACTATCCATTATAAATAGTATTAATATATAACCCCACAAATCAGGACCTACCGACATTTCTCACCCACACAAGACAGACATGCTTACGGAAGTGTTGAGGCCTCACACTTATAAACACACCCACACGAATATACACACTTAGATACATCATACTCACTCACTCCTTAATGAGGCAAATGATAACACACACCCATAGTAATATAAACGCTTACACACATCATAGTCACTCCTTCCCTAAGAACCAAATAACACACACATTTAAAAGAGACACATCTCCTTTCCAGGTACCAATAAAACAGTCAAAATGACGAAGAGAATTCAGAGCAGCATGAATCCATCCAGCTCTTATAATAAATAACAACTTAAAAGAGATTGTTTGACCAACACAAGGACTGATCAAAATTCAGCTTAAAAAAATAAAATAAAATAAAAAAATGAAAACAACACACTACAAAGAACTACAAACTTAATTTTCTCCATCAAGGCATTCATTTCTGTAGTTCACTGCTACCAGCAAGCAGAATTTTTTTTCTCCTGATGATGGTCATGTTGGCCGAAATTAGTCAAGGTATCTAAATGAAATAATAATAAAACGAAAGAATATTAATATACAACCCAGTATGTTTGAAGATTTTAATTTTTTAATAATTTTTGTTCAATATATATATATATATATATATATATATATATATATATATATGTATATATATATATATATATATATATATATATATATATATATATATATATATATATATGTATGTATGTATATATATATATATATATATATATATATATATATATATATATATATATATATATATCAAATGACTTCATATATAATGAGTAGGATGTCTTAATCATGTAAAAGCATTTGGCTCACTTGGACCTTCTTGCCTAAAAAAAACAAACTAAATGTCAAAAAAGACGGTTTTTCCTTGATACCGCTACTATTTTAACTACCATCATTCCTCAGCAATGTTTATTGTTTTAAAAAGCGATGATTAGAATTGTTATGAAACTTGAACATATGACGAAAGTGGGTTTATACATTTTTTGTTCTTGAGAATTTACAACATAAATATTAAACATTATTTCTTTATTAGATTGTTTATTTACAAGAATAATTTTTTTATTCACAACATTCTAAAAACTAATACAACTGTATTAAAATTAATTCAATGCAATATTTCTCCTTTCCCATTTTAAAAAGAAATAAATATGAAAACAATTTTTATTCATAAATTTATTAAATTTTTCAAATATGTGAACCAGCTATAAGGAAATCCTTATTATTTACAATTTTATAAAGTTTGAACCAATTGGTAATTAGCCGATGTTTTTGTCAAACATTTTAATAAACACTATCATAAATAGTGTAGATAAACAATCTATTTTGTTCTCAATTCTCAAGAACAAAGAAAATGTATAAATTCCCTTTAATCATATGTTTAGATTTTGTTACAATTCTAATCGTCGTTTTTGAAAACAATAAACATTGCTGAGGAGTGATGGTAGTTAAAATAATAGCAGTGTCATCGGAAAAACCACCCTTTTGACATTCCGTTTTTTTTGTTTTTTTTGCTGGCAGAAAGGTTCAGGTTTATCAAACTTCGTTCTAATCGGTTGTATAAAACGGGATGCGTTACAAATTCCGGTAATAAGGGAAAACAAAAAAAAGCCCGTTTGCGAATTTAGCCTCGATTACATTTAAACCGACTCTACAAAGGCTTTCCTTATAAGGGCTTTCCTCAGAAAGGATTCCGCAGAACTTTCCTCACAAAGTTTTTGAAAAGGATGAAAGGCTCTCCTATACAAAGGATTTTGTTCGCAAAGGCTTTCCTTACGAAGGCTTTCCTTACAAATCCTTTCCTCGCTAAGGCTTTCTTCACAAAGGTTTTCCTTACAAAGGCTTTCCTCGCAAAAGTTAAATTTTCCATGTTATAAGGAAAAAAACAATTGATAACTGAGCAACAGAGTTTACAGTTTTACCTGAAATTTCTTTGAGCCATTTCAGAACTCAGTCTGTAACTTGTGCATTGAAAATCAAGAAGGGATTGTCAGTGGTCAGGAATTCTGGCATGCATTCATAATAAAATAGGGCTATTATATGTATATTGGAATGCATAAATAATGACTTTATTATATATTTTATTATATATTAAATCTCAGAATGAATGGGATTGTCAGAGACCAGGAATTAAAATACGTGTTAATGACAGGACAAGATTATAAAATTTTGGAATCTCCCCTCTTTCCTCCCCACCAGAAACATTATCTTCGATGAGATGGAATTTCTTTCTCTGTTTATCTTTGGTTGATAATATATCAGTCTAAAGAAGATACTTTATAAGATTAACTTAGTTTGATACAAGGCCATAATTGTAGAGTACCAAGTATTACTCCATTATTATTATTATTATTATTATTATCTTTTGTTTTCTGTTCAGTACAATCGCTTACTGGGTCATTACCCGAAACCTAGAGTAAGAAAATCTAGAGCATATAAACATTCTGTTTACACAAAGTTTGAATTTTTTGCCAGAATTGCCACACCCACTTCTCTTTGTTGTACCTTTCTTTACCCCGGCAATGGCCACACACACTTTTCTTTGTTCCAACTTATTTTTTACTCCGGGAATGCCCACACCCACTTTTCTTTTCTTACTTTCTTTCACCCGAGAGACACTCAAAGTAGAGAGTTACTCAGTGCGATTATTGTACGGGTGTAAAGGAAAGGGAAGAAGCACATATTATGAGGATATGAAGGATATATATCGGTTGGCCCAAGCCATGAATAGGTTAATACTACAGTGGTCAGGGAAGCACCCTCTCGGGAGTCTGTTCCAGAAAACGGAAGAAACTCTCTGAGTAGAACCTATTCCTTACTAATGGAACACGAAGGGAGTGGGGATCATTTTACAACGAGAACATGGCACGGTGGTCCCTAGCTTTGAAGGCCTGAACAGGTGGAACTCAGGAATGTAGCACGTCTGAACATTTGTCATATTAATAGAGGAAAACAACGTATAACCTAGTGAGTTAAGTGAGGCGGTGAAGTGGTTAAACATTAATTCTGAGCAGAAAAAGGGTTAAGCCCAAAATGAAATATAAACTGGAAGATAGAGAGATAAAAAGAAAGAATGGAATACATTTTCCCTGGTAATGCGAAAATGAAGAAAGTGACACCCCTACGAATTGGAATAATGCACCAAGAATTTACATTTTTTTATCTACTGAAAATCTGGCATGCGGGTAAAGCAAATTAGAAAATGGCTTTATCTCTTTCTTGGGAAATTAGAAAAACACATGTTATTGACGAAAAGAGAAACAGACTGGAATTATATTTTCATCAGCGAAAGCGAATTGAGAAATAAAAACAGAGAATGAGCCCGCTGCGAAGGTTAGAATTATGAAAATCGATCCGACATGAAGGAGCAGGTGATCTGGTTTACGTTTTCGCTAAGAACACTACTGACCCAAGGATGGAAAACAGCGTGTCTCTTTGTTGATAATTTACGTAATCAAAACATGGCTGGAATGACCCATATGTGTGATATGGAATTCCATTATTAAATTGGAGGAGAGTGAATGCTGTGGGATCTTATTTTTTTGATGATGATCTTTATCGACGGGGGATGGGTTTGGCTTCAAAGTTTACAATGCCTTGCCTGCAGACTTTGCATAACATTGCCGCGATCGGAAGCTAAGATTTCCAAATCGTTACTTCGCACTGACTGAGGACGGCATTAATGCGTACTGTATTATTGATTCTTGTGACCACCCGCTGAAAATACCTGTTCTCGTTCGATCACGGGAGTTAATCAGTGTCCGTCCCAGTCAGTACTTAGATGGGTGACCGCTTGGAAAAACCGGATACTTTAAGAGTACTCATACAATCAGAAATGTGCTTTAGATAAACCACAAAGGACTGATAAACCGTAAATAAAACAACAAATCAATCAATCTTGTGACCTAAGACGAGCACTGGCATTCAGACAAATCTCCATAAAACAACTGTCTTAGAATGCGACGATATGGTCAAACCAGTGCCACCGTTGTTTCAAGCGCTGGGGTTACTGGTCTGTTGTGGGATACTTGCATGATGAATGCAGTCGCATCATTTATGCTAAGTATCTGTTCAAGACATCTTATATGGAAGGTTTCGATTTGTTATGTGTGCTGTGTGGTGTTTCTCGTACTTAGAAAGTGTATTGAATATTTGGGGCCAAGAGTAATATTCGAAAAATACAGTAACGTTAGTTTAGCTGTCAATGCACCAAAAGGTTTATGTTCGCCTGTAACCGTCTATCCAGGAAATTTTATCAAATGCGATATTCAATATTAGAAAATGACTGTTACAAAAATAACGTTCTTCGCCTCTCTTGACGCCATCTTAAATTCTGATTGCAACATTGCCAAGATTATCTAGTAATAATAATAATATTAATAACAACAATTTTTATTTTCCCAAGCCACAAGAAGAATTCAGGAATTTAAAAAAAACGATTTCTTTGTCAAATAAAGACCATTGCATTTGCGTAAGATTATTTTATTGCATTTTCTCTGGCTATAAGCAACAATCATTCATTCTTCTTAAGTGATGAGCATCATGAGCATGCGCGTCAGTTTCTGTTATTCGTTCATTATCTTTGACTTCTGAACGCAAACGAACCTTTGAATGCGGTCGATGCCGTCGTCATCGTGGTGGTAAACTACAGTCGCTAAACATTCCGTCCGGTTCAAAATGGCGGTTGTTTTAAAATGCGCAAAAGAGAAACCGCTGGACCCAAGATAACACATAAAGCTTCTTCGAACGAATCACAATCTATTAGACTTGATTTTACTATTTGGATTGATTGAATGATTTAATATTTTTGCAATTTTTATGGCGGCTATTCGATGGCGGCCGTTCGAATGGAATTTCTCTGAAGGCAAAACAAAACATTATCACATCACTTATCACTCAGTCACTGTGTTGATTTTTACTCTTCTTATTCTTTTGGGGGGGAAGGTATCCTTTCAGGAAGTGTTTGATTATGGCTCTCCACAACTTCCTATCTTAGCTCTTAATAATATTAGCCTTTTTATCATCCCTCCCAGACCCTGTTCTATCATTCATTAACACAAGCTCGTTAGATAAGTTACAATCTGCTTTCCTCAATCCTTCTTGCCTTAAGTATCTCCTGTGGCTATCAAGTTCTCCAAGTCGTCTTACCTCATTATGTGTCCTAGAAATTTCAATCGTCTTTTTCTACTTCTAAGTATGAGCGACTTTTTGTTTTCATTTTTCCTAAAAATTCTTCGTTGCTTACATGTTCTCTCCATGGAATTCTAAGAATCGATCTGTAGAACCACATTTCTCTTGATCCAAGTTTTTTCTTCATCTGTAAGGAGATTTTCCAACATTCCCTGCTATGTAAGAGGACTGCTATTACATAAATCCAGCTGGCTTCCACGTCCTGTGTATGACGACAAACTACATCCGGCAACAAGACCTCTGATTGGGAGGTTTGCGGAGCGGGGAACCAACTCTTAATTGCTGGTGTTCCCAGGTCCACCCCAACCCGGAATGGTAGCACCCGTTAGGGTCCCAGCTATGGACAAACATTAAATCGTCAAACTGGGGGCCAAACACTATGAAAGTACGAAAATATATTTTCATAGTAAAAAATTCCAGCAATTGATTTTAATAGTAAAAAAATTACCTAAGCTCCCAAGAAAATTAAATTTCGGCATTAAATGACCCATGAGGAGTTGATGTGCCGTTAAACAAACCAGAACCCAAGCTAACTCACACTTTTAAAAGATAAATGGGAGAAGAACTTTCGTGGTCTATCAATATCCTGAATAAAGTGGGTCTGCTAGCTAAATGAAAAAGCTTTTAGTTGAACTTGAACACTAGCGTTCAAATAACATTCTCAGATTTTTTTTTTCAAAACACTTCAGTGAGTGAGGGTGACGGAGACAGAGACTGTAACGTATGTACACCAAATTAGCGATTCTGATCTCAAATTTACCCAAAGGCTTTAAGATTCCTGCTTGTTCAGCCACTCTCTGTGACTGATTTGCTTGTCTGGTAAAGATTATTTTTTATCATTCGGGGTTATTTCGGTTTCTCTTCAAGGTTATAACGGCATATTCACTTATTCTATGCAATATTCTTCTATTAGGGCACGATATACTTTTAGCAAAAAAAAAAATTCTTACATTCTACAAAAGGGTTGATAAGCCGTAAAAAATAAACCAATCAATCATTAACAATGTTTTGTGATGCCAACGAATACTCGTTGTCACGTTCGTAATGCTCATTCTAGCAGAGGCTTTGTAATCGCAGATACAACTATAGTAACGCCCTTGAACAATACTGGTGTTAGACGCCTTCGAATAATCTCGCACTAATAGTACTTGCTCGATAATACTCGCTCGAATAGTAGCCACCGACTAGTAATCCGTATTGAGAAATAGTACAGTGAATAGAGTAGAGAATAGCGGTCTGTATAGTAATAGAGAATAGTGTAGAATAGCGATCCGAATAGTAATAGAGGATAGAATAGAAATAGCGATCAATTAGAGACACGCTATACGTATCCACTATGGTCATGTGGCCTATTTAATTCAGTAATGGGATCGCCTGTGTTTACTTACTAGCGATCTATGTTCAAACTCAAGTATAGGCAACGACACTTTATTCCTATATAACACAATGGGAAAACAAATTATGTGTGAATTTCTCTTCTTTTCTTTAATATCTCTTTACTCTAGATATTTACTAACTTCAACTGTTTTTATAAATTATTTTTGACATTTCTATTCCTAACTGGTTTAATTACCAAAATATTGACTTTTGCAACATTAAACCTTCATTATCCCCACCTTCTCTCTCTCTCTCTCTCTCTCTCTCCCTCTCACACACACACACACACACCTTTTCTCTCTTTATCTTTATTGCTTCATAGACGCTTTTTGATGTGTCTATTAGGTTGAGCCAGAAGTAATTCCTATTTTAGGGAATCAATTTTAATGACGAATGCTTACCATCCTAACTATTTGATGTAAAAAGAAAGTGAAGTACAAGACAAAAGCAAAAAAAAAAAACACAGCTGCTCAGTTTCTTGAGATGTCTACTCAAATGCGTGTAACCACTAAATAAAACGTATATAATAATGAAAAAAATAATGTCGAATTCTTTAATTCCTTAACCAAATGCTGTAGGCATGGATGTGCGGGTGGTGTGATGGATAATTGTTAATTGGAGAGCCGAGTTCCAATTCCCTTTGGGTTCGTTATATTCACTTCCGTGCAAATACCGTTGGGAAAGGTATGAATCCATCTCTTCTCCCCCAGGTATGGATTAATTAGTAATAATTTTTATCCTTAAATTATTATTATCTCCCTCCACAAAAAATCCTACAATCTAAAAATATTTTTTGGCTTTAAATAACCTAAAAACGGTTGATAAGCCGTAAAAAACCGAATCAACCAAAAAAAATTAATTCCATGGAATTATATATTTACTAAGGTTTTGTTCATCTGGCACAGATCCAAATACCTTTTCCAAAGATCATAGCGATTAAGGAATATGGACAGTTTACTTTCGGAATAAGGGAATCGTTCAGCTCTCAAATAAGATCGCATCATCAGGGAAAGGGTTAGCGAGATAGCTTTGCAGAAAGTAACTACGATAGCGAATTTGATCCTCACCGGGTTCCCTATATTTGGGATTTTTTGCTAGACTAAGAAGAATGAATCGCTTTCTTCTTCTATTTTGGGAAACCGATTGTAATGACGAATGCGTACCATCCTAACTACTCGATCTAAAAAGAAAGTGAAGTACAAGACCAAAGGAAAGAAACAGTCGCTCGTCTCAATTTCTTGCTCGCCCTGGCTGTCCTTAGAAACACCGTTAAGAACGCCTTTCTTCCGAGATTTCCTTGACCCTCCACTGAGTCAGGTTGTAAGACAAGGTCGGTTTTAACGTTGAGGCCCGAGTGTTCCCAATTCGGGCCGTTAGTCTAAGCTGGTCTTAGCTTATCTAAGCTGGTCAAAGCTTCTTAGCTGGTCAGTGCTTGTCTAAGCTAGTCATAGCCGGCCATACCACCACTACGTAACAGATATCACGCAACGGTGGTGAGAAAGCAAGGGAGGAGAGAAAGACTCCGGCACGGAACAGATACTACAACCGTAGCATCTACTCCTCCGCCAATCCCTCCAAAAGAATCCAGAAGGAAAGCCTCACCCCTTTCTACCCACTTCCCTGTATCAATCTTGTTCGTTCTTTTATACTCCCGCAAAGTACTCGATCCGGATGTTTGGATTAAATTCGCATATGCCGATGCAAACTGCGTCATTCTCCCAACACCTGGCTTGTCTATATCATTCTCCTCGAATAAATCAGCCTCAACTGGTTAATGCGAGGCTCAGGTTCGAATCACACCGAAGGCAAAGTTGCCACGCGAATTCTTTTCGCAGTGGGCCAACGACGTCTTCTCTTGGCAACTCCTTCGTTACACTACTAATCATATTTGGCAATTAAGATAAATTCGGTCTACACTAACATTCTTTAGTTTTTGTATGGCAGTGACAACTTACATATTAGAATAAAGAGAAAATGCTGTTTTCCCCTATGACAACGCAATGCTATATGCAAAAAGAATAACGTAGGAAAAAGATTTGGAACTTGGTTGGTCTGTTCTGCTCTATCCATCGTATTAACTTGACCTTAAGCCAACCGATTATTACATTTTTCGATCGCCGCAAAATACTTTGATGGGGAAAACATTCTCAAATATAAACCAGATTCAATAATTTGTCGAAAACATTTTCACGTCAAAACCCGCGGAATATTATTTAAAAGGTATCGAAGAGCTACTTGG